CAGTGAACCTGCTTACAAGGTTGTTTAGTCTTTTTCCTTAAGACTGTCCTTGATTTTCTACAGTTATGTCCATGCAAAAATGTTGATAGGAACTAGGAGAGAGCAAGGGAAGGAGTGACATTGTCTAAAAAGAAATGTATTCTTTTCCTGACTGATTTAAATGTAACTCTTCTGTATATCACCTTTATAATAACAATAGCAAATTAAAAAATTTTGACAGGCTGGGAAGTACACCAGGACTCACAGGCTATTTATCCAGGAAGAACTAAGTGGAAAATTAGTTACTGCTGCCCCTTCCCTTCTCTCTTGACTTGTTTGGAGAGGCTCCAGCCTCCTAATACTTTTCTTTGCAAGTCTACCTTAGCTCCTTATAGGTGTTAAATTGTTAATTAGCAGGTTAATAGCTTCAGCTCCCTCTCAGCTACTATCCCAGGACGGGGGAGGTAGAGGTTCATCCACATGGTAAGACAGTAACCAACAGAGGCTTGGAGTCACCATCACCGGCTGTGTGACCTTGGGCTTTGTGTGTTCTTAGGAGCTGAGGGAAGTATGGCTGGGCCAGGAGGGCAGAATCAGATAACTTGAAGGTACCAAGCCAAGGATTTTGATTTGTGGAGAAGAAGAGATAGATTTAGAAGTAGGGAATGCCAGGATATGGGGAAAGCTCCAGGTAGCAGGGAGAGAGCAAAGGTGGGTTCTAAGTGCCTTGAAAGCAGGGGCCAGGTGATGTGTGTGTGTGTGTGTGTGTGTGTGTGTGTGTGTATGTGTCCTAGAACTTGGGGAACACCTGCTAACTGTTGCCTTTTCTCTCCTCTCCCAAGGGCTTCTAACAAGCTATTCCTGTTGGATCAGTGTGAGAAGTATCCACGCTGTATGCGGTGCCAGAGGCGTACCTCCAACACGGGCCAGAGCAATGTGTGGCCCAAGAGCAAATTCATCCACGACTCTCGATTGCTTGTATAGAACTCTAAAGTTTGAACTTGTGTTTCCTGGGAAGCACCTTTTACAAGTTTGGAATGATTGTAAAACTGTATATTTGTACTTCAAAGGAAGAAAAGATCTTTTTTTCAGGTTAGGTGTTTTAGATCTCTTAGTGAATTCATGTTGGCACACTGTCCCCTCCTGCTTTCCTCCAATCCCTACCTATTCTCTGAACTTCTCTGATGGCAGTGGAGGTGTCAGAATTGTTCTGGGACATGAATCCATGGCCACAGGGATTGGGAATAGGATCTAGCTTTGTGCCAGCTGCTGTATAAGAAACTTCCTATTTTTTCATCTGTCATGAATAATGTCAATAATAAATATTTTCTGAGTGCCTGACTATGCAAGATAATTCCTAATGGTAAAATTCCTCTGTCTTGGAATATGGGGTAAGGATGTTTTCTGGACATTTCTTAAAGGCTGTGTGGATACTAAAGAGGTAGGCCAAGCTGTTCCCCTCAGACTCAGAGAAGTCCGGATTGAGTTTTCTAATGGATGATATGTGAGGACTTTGTCAGGGCCTTCAGGGATGTTATTCCCGTGGAGACCTTCAGATGAAACATTCTATCATCCAGATATTCCACTCTCTGATAATTTGGTAATTAATGTATTGTCTGAGGGAAGTATGGCTGGCCATTGTAGAAGGCTTATTCTCACCTTAAAGGAGTTAAGGTGTGTTCTACCAAAGATAATTTTTCATTTACCTTTATTGTTTACCTCTCTTCTCTCACCTGTCCTACCGCCTCAGGTATAATAGCTAGAATGAAGTCCAGCTTTCTGAACTAGGAAGAAAGGGAGGAAGAAAGTCTTTTAGACTATTTATTCTCTTTCTGACTGCCAAATCTTCCCTTGGGAAATGTATGTGGGCAGATATTTGTATTTGAAGACTTACTTTGTTGGCTACTTAAATAAAACAAGAATGTATTGAGCTCTAAATAGTTTAGAGGCAAACATTGACTCAAACTAATATGGTTAGTAATAATACTGATGTGACTTTTCCTGGGGTAACAAGAATGTCTGCTAGTTGGAATTTTTCCAAACCTCTTCCCAAGCCTTCCTATAGTGCCACCTCCTTGAATCCCCTACCTCAAGCTCCTTTTGTGGAAGTCTAATCATCATCAACCAATATTGAAGACATTAATAGCCTTTTACCAGGATTGCTAGACTGACTTTATCCATTCCTCCTGAACTCAGTCTCTTGTATATAGTAAAATGCTATAATAATGTTGCATTAATATTAATTAAAATACAGATGCCTTTGTTAAGGAAAAATGAGTTTAGGCAATCTTGTTACATACAGATTTGACTTCATATACACTTGTTACTGGAAAAACAAATTATCAACTTAATTTACAATTTATAGTTTTCTATCATTGGTATCAGTCAGCCTTACTAGGTGCCAAAACAATAAGATAATTTTTCATGACTTGGAGATTAAGACCTCTCCATTCTTTGGCTTTTTTCAGAGTGTGGGAGTGAGATGTGACTAGGAGAATTTCTGTGTAACAAGGGAAAACTACAAGGGTGAATATGATCAAAATGTACGTGTGTGAAAGCAGAACAATGAAGCTTGTTAAAACTGGTTTGGGAAGGAGAAAAAAAGGATGGAGGAGGAAATAGGGAGTAGGGAGTTTAATTGAGGTACTTTGTATGAATAAATAGACATGTCAAAATGACTCTCACCTTGCATAACTGATGTTAATAAAATATGTGGAATAGGGGCTAGGAAGGTGGCTCAGTGGTAGAGTGCTTGCCTTGCATGCATGAAGCCCTGGATTTGATTCCTCAGCACCACATAAGGAGAAAAAGCTGGAAGTGGCGCTAGCCTTGAGCTGAAGAGCTGAGGGACAGCACCCAGGCCCAGAGTTCAAGCCCCACTACTGACCAAAAAAAAAAAAAAAAAAGTGGGATGGGATAAAGGGAAAAAACTGAGCAGCATTGTAGTTGTTACAGATGAGCAATGTGGTGGAGCTCTTACTGTCTCATAAAGATGGCTAGAAATACTTTAAATATTATTTTTCAAAGAACCAGATTTTACTTTCATTAGTTTTTCTTTACGCAAATTTTCTTAATATCATTGATTTGTTAAATTTTATTTTCTTTTGCTTGCTTTGGGTTTAATTTGGCCCTATTCTTGTTTCTAGGGAAGACATTGATTTGAACCTTTTTTTTTTTCTTGTTTTTTTTTTTTTTTGGTTGTAGGGCCTGGGCCTGGGCGCTGTCCCTCAGCTCTTCAGCTCAAGGCTAGTACTCTACCACTTGAGCCACGGTGCCACTTCCGAGGATTCGAACCCAGGGCCTCATGCATGCAAGGCAAGCATTCTAACACTGAGCCATCTTCCCAGCCCCTTGAACCTTTCTTACTAATATAAACATTTAATGAAGTATCTCTGGATTTAGCCATATCCTATCAAATCTGATAGAATTATGTTCATTTTCCTTCAGTTCAAAACATTTTCTATTTCCATAGTTTAGGAGAATATTGCCAATTTCCAATTTTGGGAGATTTTACAGCTATTCAAGCTTTTGAAGATTTTGTAGATAGCTCTGTGAATTATTTCTAGTTTAATTTGTGGAGCATATGCTCTGTATAATTCTCTTAAAATTTTAAAGATTAGTTTAAGCCCAGAATTATAATGTATTGCTGAACTGCCCATGTTCATTTGGGCAGTTGTAGTACTGAGTGTTGTGTTATAAATGTTGGTTTACAGTGTTCTTTATAACTTCTATATCTTTCCTAATTTCTACTTGTTCTATAAATATTGAGTTCACACTGATACAAGGATTCCAATTCAAAATCCTAAGATTAATGCTACTTTCCCCACATTTTTTGCTTCTGCCTGACAGTTAAAAACAACAAGAAGAAAAATGCCTCTGATTCCTGTTTATTACTAGAATAATTACCAAGAGGTAGGAACAATTGTGCATAATGTTTGACAATATAAATAGGATGTTTTTAACATACTGTTGGTACTGGAGAGAGAGACAACTGCAAGATTCAAATCTCACCTCAGCCTCGCTGAGAGTTATTTGCTTTATGATCTTGGACATCTTAACGTTTCTGTGCCTAGACTAAAAACCAGGCTAACAGAAACGGTACTATTAACTCGTAGGGTTGTTGATTTAAGGTTATATAAGCTCGTTAGGAGTGGTCTTGCACTCTTGAAATCCCTACAACTTGGAAGGCGGAGATCAGGGGAATCATGGTTTTAGGAAAACCCAGGCCCCCCCCCCCAAAAAAAAAAAAAAAAAAAAGTCAAGCGGGGAGTGGCGGTTCACGCCTGCAGATCCTGGTGAGGTAGGTAGGTAGGGTTTCTAAACAGGGTCCTTCCTTAAAAAAAGAAAAGTGGGAGAACTCACAGGAAAAATAAAGCAAACGAACTAGGAGTTGGCTCAAGTGGTGGAGGAAGTCCTGCGCTCAGTCCTCGATACTGCAGAACAAAAACAAAACAAAGGCACATAGCATTGTTTAGATTTACGACACAGGCTTCCCAAGAGACGGGGTTAAACTAAGAAGCAGCCGGATACAGTTGAGAAACTTCGGTCACTGTCCCTTCTGGTCCCAGTGCACCCCTTTCCTTCCTTTTAGCTTCGGGCAGACTTTGCCCTGTAGTCCTCCCGGCCGGTCGTTTCAAGCCTTGAGACTCAGATCCCTACAATTCCCGCCTCTACAACAGGCATCGCGATGACGTCACGGAGGGCGGGCTGAACGTTCCCGCTTCTCATTGGCTCTTGGCCCGCCACCGCGGGTGGTGAGGAGGCGAGTACGTCGCCTCGGCTATAAAAGGGAAGGCTTGTGACGCAGAGGGCTGGAGAAGGCGCGTACTGGCTCCTCGGCCGCCTCTCCGCCCGACCGCTCGCGGGACTACGGTACAGCTTGGCGTCCGGCCGGCGCTGTCGTCGCCTCCCCGCAACGCCCGCCTCCGCTCCCAGCCCAGCAGCTGCCGCCGCCCCCGCCCGCGTCGCCGCCGCCGCCGCCGCCACGGAACTGACTGTATGATCAGGCCGAAGCCGTTCATGAGTAAACGCGCTCCGTCCTGTGGTGTTCTCAGTCTCGTATCTATGGAGTTCCCGAAGGGCCGCGGAGGCTACTGTCAGGCCCAGCACGGCCTTCCCGAGGCCAAGTGAACCGACGACGGTCCTCGCTGGGCCCCGGGAAGCCCCTCCCCCCGGAAGCGCGGCGCCCGGCCCGGAAGCCCGCCGGAAGCGTTTGGTGGGACTTCCGACGGGGACGGGGAGACCTCCGCCCGCTCCTTCATGTGACTCAAGGTGCCGGAACTGGAGGGCTGCTGCCACATGGCCTTTGGCTTCCGGCCCCTCCTAACTTCCTGTGCAGAGCGCTGCGAGTTCCCGGCGGACTGCACTACACTTCAGTGTCTCGGCCTCCCTTCCGTGTTCGGACAAGTTCTCTCATAACTGCATTGATCGTTTGCTTAAAGCTAGATGACCATGGCGCCCATGAACCGCCCAGCTCCTGTGGAGGTCACCTACAGGAACATGCGATTTCTCATTACACACAATCCAACCAGTGCGACGTTAAGCAGGTTTATAGAGGAACTGAAGAAATACGGGGTGACCACGATAGTAAGATTGTGTGAAGCAACTTATGATACTGCTCTGGTAGAGAAAGAAGGCATCCAGGTTCTAGATTGGCCTTTTGATGATGGTTCATCACCGTCCAAACAGATTGTCGATGATTGGTTACATCTGGTTAACATTCAGTTTCGTAAAGAACCTGGCTGTTGTATTGCTGTTCACTGTGTTGCAGGCCTCGGGAGAACTCCAGTGCTTGTTGCCCTAGCATTGATCGAAAGTGGAATGAAATATGAAGATGCAGTACAGTTTATAAGACAAAAACGACGTGGAGCTTTTAACAGCAAACAACTTTTGTATTTGGAGAAATATCGTTCTAAGATGCGCCTGCGATTCAAAGACTCTAGTGGTCACAGAAACAACTGTTGTGTTCAATAAAATTTGGCTGCTATTGTGCCATGGGTGTTGAACTCGAGACGATACCTAATGTAGCTACGTATTAAATAACATTTGGGCTTAATGAAAATTTCTTAGCAATATTGAAAAGTCACAGCTTGACAGAAGAGTAACCAACCGTTGTTTTGCTTACTACTATCTTGGGCCAGAAACAATATGTCAGGTATTCACTGAGGGTAGGTGCCAAAGATAGCCAACACAATATTTGTATATTTTTAGTTACACAGAATTTAAATCTCAGGAACCATAAACAACATTCTAGACCTTATGTGAGTTATTCATGTCAAACACCGCAAGTTGAACTTATTTTCCGGATTCACATAGGTACTAGTGTACATTGGGTTTGTGCAATAGTTGATTTCTTGGATCTTTAATCTTATGACTACCTAATGCCTTTCTATAAGACTAATTTTATGTTATTGTGATACCTCCATTTTGAAAAAAGAACTTCTAGTTAAAAGTTTGTCCAAGATCCACATTGTACTGAAGTGTGTGTGTTTGATGTCTTCATATATAAAAGCTTCACAGTAAATATTTTATGTGCAACTTAACAGGAAGGGCCTGAAAGACAGAATGGGAGAGGACTAAGATGTATTTTTAGTGAAGTGTTGCCTTTGTCTTATTCAGGGTGTATAGGATAGACTCTTTAGTAGACATCTTTTAAAGAGTAGAGACACTGTAGCTATAATGCTTCCAAATTTCTAAAATTCTTGTAATTCTTCATAGCTATTGGAAAATGCATATTACTTGGGTTTGAAGTTCAATGTTTCCTTTCTTTCTCCTAACCAAAACAGGAGTAGCCTTCTACCAATGAATTGCACACGTCATATTTTATGTATTGTTTAAACTGTGTACCAGTGTTAGGATACTTTATAATTAGTTTTATTATGAAGTTGATAAAATTATCTGTTTTAATGTTAGTTCAACTATTTCCTTACTGTCTGAGAGCCAAAGGTAGGAGATCTATGGGAGAAATAATTTGTTAACCATCAGCAGCTAGTATAATGTATGAATAAACAATGAATTACAAGAAAGATTTCTAAGATGGTTTAGTTACGTTAATATCAGAGTTAATATTAGAGTTAAATAACCACTAAAGTTTTCAAAAGTTTTAGTACTCTAGAAGTTATAACAATTCTAAACTTTTAAAAAATCTCTGTTCTAAAGTACATGAATATGTACAAAACTACAAGGAAGTTTGAAAAGTTTGCCATGGTAGAGGGGAAATTTTTCTGTCTTTCAGAAACAAGAAGATAAGAGTGTGATAAATAAACTTTTTTTCTTGGAGGGGGGGGGTCGGGTCGTGGGGCCTGAACTCTGGGCCTGGGCACTGTCCCTAAGCTCTTCAGCTCAAGGCTAGCACTCTACCACTTGAGCCACAGCACCACTTCTGGCTTTTTTCTTTTTGCTTATGTGGTACTGAGGAATTGAACCCAGGGCCTCATACATGCAAGGCAAGCGCTCTACCACTGAGCCACCTTCCCAGCCCAGGACAAATAAACTTAATCATATGAAAAGATGAGCATTACATCCAACAAGTGTGAGATACATATTCTTTTTAAGAACATGAAATACTTTCTTAAATTTGACTACATTTGATAAAAGCCAAATTTCCGACTTGAGTAATTTGAGTAATTCAGAACAAGTTCTCTGACCAAATTTCAATTGGGAAAAAAGTTTCTACCATGTAATTCAGAATTTTGAAAATCTATGTCTATAAATTCTACTTGTAGAGAGAATGTAGTAGATCATGGAAGCTTAACATTCCCCCAAAGTACTAGAAAAATAAGTCATACATGTAAATATATGTGAGAGCCAGTAGCAAGGACTAGTTGCATAGGAATTCCAGAGAGGAAGGAGCCTTCTAAGATGGAACACCATCTTTTCTAAATACCTTCACTGATCCTGGACATGGACTGTGAGGATAAGGCTTGGGCTAGGCAGAAGATCTCTGAAGGGATAGGGTAGCATGAGAAAATGGAAAAGCCTGGCCAGTTGCTTCCGTTGAAAGTTAGATTCCCAACAGGTTTATTAAGGGGTATTCTCAGGAAGCAACACCTGTGATGGAGTGTGAGAATAGATATAAATTTCATGATGCCAGATGTTATGGATCACATACAATCACTATATGAGAGGTTAAGAGATTAGGAGGATTGAGCTTCCCTGTGCAAAAACAAAACACAACAACAAAAAACCCCTTAGCAACAAACTAGTTGGGCATGATGGTACATGCCTGTAATCCCAGCTATGAAAGAGGTATATGGAGAAGGATAAAGGTCTGAGGTTGGCCCCAAGGAGTATAGATCCTACCTGAAAAACAAAAGTAAAAAGGACCAAGGAGCATATTTGAAATGATAGAATGCTTCACAAGAACAAGACCCTGCTTTCAAACCCTAGTATTGCCAAAGAATAGAGTTGAATAGAAATACACAGCTTCAAGATACTAAACTCAGTTAATCTCTTGGGAGCTCTAGAGATGGGATTACGATTTAGAGATGCCTGCAATTGAGGCAGAGAAGTTAGGCCCTTGGGATTCTAAATCAGTTAGCCATTGGCTATAGGTTACACCTGGGTATGATGGTATACCCTTGGGTGGGTCATCTTTCTTCAGGCAGACAGTTCCCTGAAGGGGATGCATTGTGAGTCTTAGCTGATAAGGGCTGGTAGGATCATGATGGTTTTATACTTGGAGACCTGAGCAGTGTAAAGGAAGCATCCACTGGACTGCATATGATAATGACCTCAGTTCTGGGAAGCTTAGAATGCAGGAAAATCATCTTGTTTAATAGTATGTTTAGCAGATGTTGTTCACTAGGAAGTCCAAATTTTTCCACATTCTCACCAACATTCCCCCTCCATGTAAAAAAATTGTCAGTTGAACAGTTGATTTTGACACGTCAATGGATACAAAGTGCCTTGGTTAGACAATCCTGTCTATAACTCACCCCATCCCCTCCTCGCCTCCCTCTCTAAAGCAACCTCAACCAGCTCCATTGTTTCATTTTCACACATAAAGTGTGAAAAAACCCATATTCACTTTTCTTCACTCTCTCACCTTCCCTCTCCTCTAGTATTTCCACCCAGGATAGATAGAACCTGTTTTTTATTCCATTTTTAAAAAAAGTATATGTTAATTCTTCAAATTGGTTTTTACGACGATTTTCACCTGCATGTACTGTACTTGAATCAGACAGCTTTCAATGAACACAGAGATGCAATAAATTTTTAATATTGTTCATTCTCAGTTGCAAGAAACAGAAGCAACATTTTGAGAGGTCGAATCAGGAGTCTTTTTATTGGAAATCCAGTGACCACAGGTGGACTTTGTCACAAAGACCTGCAGCCCCACGAATACACTTTAACAGTGTCAGACAACTGAGTCATGGGAGCAGGAGAGGAAAGAAAGCAGAAAAACAATACCAACAAACCAGAACATTGGTGAGCTGAAGTGGGATGGCATGGTGACTAGAGACAGGAGACACAGGAATACAAAACATGGCATAATAGTGCCTGAGCTGGTCTGGGTCTAAATAGAATTAGGGTCCAGGGGCAGGGTCGCAGGAAACTGGAGTCTGGCCAGCTCAAGGCACAGGACTGACAGGTCCAGTAACCAGTAATCTTTGTCCAAGTCCCTGCCCCTGCCTCTAGGAATTCAGGCACACCCATCACCTGGGAGGAGGGACTTTGCCTTCCTCTGCCATGAAGACAAGATAGTGTCAGTTAATCCAATTCCCTGTCCACCATGTAGCCAAGATGGTACCGGTTAGACCCAGCATCCCCACTTCACACTGTCCTTTGCTGGTGCTAAGGCTTGTCACTGTCCCCTAGCATAGGTCAAGAATGGCACTCTACCTCAGCCTACTTCTAACTTTTTGGTAGTTCATGGAAGCAACAGTCTCACAAGCTTTTCTGCCCTAGCTGGCTTCAAATGATCATCTTCAGATCTTAGCTTCCTAAGTAGCTAGGATTACTGATATGAACCATCAGCCTTATTAATTTATATAAAAAGGCTACCTGAACCATTGCAACAATGAGATGTACAAGTTATGTCAAAAACGAACTTTACAACTTTCGTGCGGGGGGGGGGGGGTGGGGGACTGGGGGGCATGGGGAGGATGGGAAGGGATGGGAAGGGGAAACAAAGGAGGAGGCCACAATGCTTGATAAGAAATGTACTCATTATCTTGCCCATGTAATTGTAACCCCTCTGTACAGTATTTTCACAATAATAAAAAAAAAAAGGCTACCTGAAGAGTTCTGGGATATGATGTAAAAAAGATAGTGTAAATGGTTTCCTGGTGTCCAGCTTCACTCTTCAAAGCCTTCTAAGAATAGCTTTCCCTTCTCTGGGAGGGTGAGATCATAGGAGAGGAATGTTTTCTAAGGATATTCTCAGTTAAGAAGAGTGTTTGCACCAAGGAAGCTAGTGCTACAAAAATAAGACCTGAGCATGTGGTGACTGATAACACTGCTAACTACTCTTCTAGGAGCCTAGTGGTCTATACACTTGTGGACACGCTTGTCATTGAGAGGTAGCCAGTGGAGATACTGAGGCTGAGGTGGCAGCAGCAAGGGTGGGACTATAAGCAAGAGTAAGACAGACTACGGGGCTGGGAAGGTGGCTCAGTGGTAGAGCACTTGCCTTGCATGCCTGAGGCCCTGGGTTCGATTCCTCAGCACCACATAAGCAAAAAGAAAAAAGCTGGAAGTGGTGCTGTGGCTCAAGTAGTAGAGCACTTGCCTTGAGCTGAAGAGCTGAGGGACAGCGCCCAGGCCCAGAGTTCAGGCCCCACTACCGGACCAAAAAAAAAAAAAGAGTAAGACAGACTAGAGACTGAAAGTTGTCATCTGAGCAGGTCTTAGAGGGGTTGCTACCTCTTTCCTCAGCTATATTCTCTGTAGTGTCTGCTCCCCTGGATATAGACAAGGTAAATGATGATGTGGAAAGAACTTGATCTCTGAAACACCCAGGGCCAGACTGACATCACCTCTACAAGGAAGCTGCTCTGGGCTGCTCAATTACTTCAGAGTATGGAGGATGGATAAAAGTGTGTTCCAGAGCCAGGAAAATGAAATCAAGTCTTCCTTAGAACTCCCCATGGCATTTTCCCTCACTGTTTTGCTTCCTCTTTACTCCCGGCCCTGCTGACCCTCCCCACCCATATTTCTCTGGCTTTCTTTTTAGTAATAACCCCCTGCAGAATCTCGGAGGGGAGTGTGATCCTAAGAAGGGTCTGGATTCCTTGATGATTGGACCATATTTTTTGGCTGATGATTGTACTCATACTTGCTCATCTGCCCCCGAGTCCCATCCATTCTTCCCCCTCGAGTCTCAGTGCAAGAACTACTCCTTGAGCCTTCTTTTGTATCTTACAGGAAACATCCTTCTTTGACCACCCTCCACCTTTATCTACATGGTTCTCATGGCCTTGAACCTTTTTCTGTTATGGCAAAAGGAGTTGTGTCCAATTACTCTCCGAGGCCTTGATGAGCTCTATAAAGGTGGGATCCTGAGAATTCTCTGTTTTCTGCAAGACCTAGACAGGAGCTAGAAATCAGGAAGGAACTAAGAAAAGGACCATAGGAAGGTAAACTGCCAGAGCCTTCAAGGACAAGTCCTCAACCACAGTAGGTACCAGCATCTCCCCTCCCACTAAAAATCTCAAATGGAAAAAAACAAAACAAAATGATGGCAACAAGGATGTCAGTTTTGGAACCCATTTATAGAGTGATGTTATAAGTTCCTGAAATGGCATTAGATAGTCTGAAAACTCATGGCTTCCTTGGGCCAAGTGTAGGTGTCCCCTCTAAAGGAGTCATAGTTGGAAGTGTAGACCAGGGATCTTAGAAAAGCCTCCTTGTCTGTGGGTTCCGGATAGTAGGAAGCCAGGTTGTGCTTGTATGCGTAGTCAAGGATCTAGGGGGAAAAAAAAAACAAACACAATCAGATTTGGTTGAGGAATTGAATCACCAGGAAAAACTGCCTA